ATGATATTCATACAAAAGCATTATCGGCGCGATTGCAAACTCATCAGAGCGACGTGAATATTTTAATAACATGTGCCGCAATTAATATTATCTGAATTATTTCATAGCGGTCTTTTAATCATTGCATTAATTAATACTACTGCCATATGCAATCTATGTAAATCAAACGAAGCCTCAATAATATTCCACCGCGCAGCAAAGCGTTAAATAACCCGAATTATGAGAGGATGGGTATGAATATGAAATGCTTTACGAATTACAATTTTGGAAACGGTCTATTGTTTGGAAATTGAAGCGAGTGTAAGAATCATAATAAATGAATTGTGATTTATGAGTTATATCCGACGATCGCTGAAGATTGCTTACTGTGGTAACAATTCGTTTTCGTTCACGCGAACCCCGTTCACTTGTACAAGGTGCAAGTAACGTGCACGCTCCGCTAAAGGGAGTCGTGAATCCAAGGTAAAGCAGTGACACGTAAAAAAGCGATCCGTTTTACCGGGCCTTCTGCGGCCGGCAGTTTTTATACGAAGTCATTCATTCGAGCGGACACCACATTAAAATTTGCGATGTAACTTTTCTCTCTCGTGCGAGTAAAACCGACCGTGACTCATATAACTCGATTCTCGGAGGAAGAAAAAGATATTTTCTCGTTTTCCCATCAACGCGTAGCATCGAAACTATGACGATTTTCTGCCGTCTCACATGTCGCTTTTAGTTTTGTGAGTCAACAACTTCGTTGAACGCGCCGTGTCAGAAACAAATCGTGCAAAAAGAAACGTTTCCAACATATACGACGGATTAATCGAAGAATCGAACTACGATCGCGCGACGCGGACGAATTTAAACGAGGCGACAAACGAGTTCACTTTTCGACGATTTTCGTTGCATAACCATCCGTAGAAGCAATTTACTGGCATAACGCAAATTGTCGGTGAAACAATTTCATTGGACGCGGCACAAAGGTTTGCCGCGGTGCGAAACAATACGAGGAATACCTACACTGGTATCGGATTATTCGACGTTTTCATTAGCTATTGACATCGCCATGTAAAATATCGATTCTACCCGTTCTACGAACGGCATGGATTTCTCTGCTCCGTGCATTAATATTAATTTTCAAGCTTTTACATTCCCCCTCGCCATTCGGCACACTCGTAACGTAGATTAATTGAGAAAGCCTGTTACCGAGGAGCGAGACAGTGGTTATTAATGGCATAACAAAATATCGAGCAGCCCACGCCGCCAGGCCTTCGAAACCCGACAAATATAAGACGCGAAAACTTCCGAGGCGCGCGAACGAAAGACGCGGTCGAGATTTATGGTCGCTCTCGCTATACAGAAACATTGTTTCTGATGAGGGAGGCGGGAGGAAGAGGCAGGGGAAGGGGACGATTTCGCGTTATCCGGTTAATGGCGGGTCGAAGAAAGTCTGCGTCGCTTCCACGATGTTTACCAAATTACAGGGGATTAATCTGCATCAACGCGATTAATTGCATCGGTATTCGGCCGACGCGGCACACGAAGATATTTCATTTCGATGAAAAGGGCCGCGAGTTTTTGTCCGATGCCGAGAGAAAGAGAGGAGAGAGAGAGAGCTCTGAGTTTCCCATTCGCCCGAAGAAACCTGTCATTAACGTAACGAACGATTCTTGTTGTTCACCGCGGCGAAAGCGTTTATTTCCACGTGGCACTAAATCTAAGCTTGCTTTAGGAGAGCGGGGTGCAGTAACAACGGTGCAGCTCGAGGAAACAATCCCACGTTTTCTTTTGCTCATGGCCGAGTAGTAAGCCGATGCCCCGAGCCACTAATCACAAAGGAATTACTCGTCGGAAAAAGCCCCCTTTAGCCGCGAAGGATTCTACTGCGCTACCCTGGATATCCGATTCTTTCGATTCGCCGTGAAACGAGTGCGCTTCTAACGTTATTTAGGCGCGAATCATAGTAGGGTAAGGTTGCCGATATCGCACCGGCTCCTAGATCGCACTACC